TGGCTGTCTGTGTGTGTGTGTGTGTGTGTGTGTGTGTGTGTGTGTGTGTGTGTGTGTGTGTGTGTGTGTGTGTGTGTGTGTGTGTGTGTGTGTGTCTCTGTGTGTGTGTGTGTGTGTGTGTGTGTGTGTGTGTGTGTGTGTGTGTGTGTGTGTGTGTCTCTGTGTGTGTGTGTGTGTGTGTGTGTGTGTGTGTGTGTGTGTGTGTGTGTGCAAAAGTATCAAAGCTATGGTGCAAAAAACAGGAATTATAATAATTTATATTAATTCCATTCTAACTGTGTTTGTTTTTCAATCTGGAAGTTGTTTCACACCTGGCTCCTGCACAAGTTCATGAATTAGATGAGTTTAAAAATTCAAATTGAGAGAAAGAAAGTGAAAGAGATCTGATTCTATAAAAGAGTAAATTGAACCAATTACAGATAAACCAGGGAAACCCAGAAAGGATTAGCAGACACAGAAAAATAGAGGACACCATCTGGGTGGATCGGGTTGAGCAATTTTTAGTCCTATTTTCAATCTACACAGAAATTGTGGAATTTCATTTTTTCACAGTTTTTAGAATGTAATTTATTGACTACATACAAATAAAACAAATCTGTAGTCAAAATGAAGTGAAATGAAGTGTTATGCATGCTTAAGTTATTTTCTTTATTTATTTTTTTCAAATTAATCAATTTATAATTAAAAGATTATTGATGAAATCTGAAAATTTGGTGTACATGTCCAATTTTAGATAAAAGCTATTGAAGATTAATCTTAACATTTAATCATACAAAATATTAAAAAGGGAGAAATGCTGAAACAAAGATTAAAGTAGTTAGATATGGTCATTATTTTTGTATGTTAGAGTAAAGACCATTTACTGTAAAAGCAATTAGAAAATATATATAAAAATGTTTAAATCAAAATTTGTAGCAGTTGGGCATTATTTATAGTGTCTGAGAGTTTTGTTGCGTGTACATGGCATCACGTGAAGCTATTGTTTGTTTACAAAGCTCGTCTCGACATTTGTTGAGACGAGCTTTCTAAGCTTTTTTCTTGGTGCTTGCAGTGCATTGGATTCAATGGATTTGTCTGCATCAAAAAACATGGATTTCATTGGATTTCAACAATCAATGTAGAGGTGATTATTGTGGCTTTGGTGAGCTATTGACTGCAAAAGTCAGAATCTGGGAGCATCAAGCTAATTTTACTGAACTTCTGCCACGATGATGCTGTGGGTGAGGCCCACACTGTCGCTTGTCAACATTGCCCATAGATGTGTTCAAACCTACGCCCCCCTTTGACACTGATTGGCCGAAAGGTAGATGCTTTAACTGTGTGCGTGAGTGATGCATTTAAGGCGACTCTGTAAATACTGGACAAAAGCCGTCCCTTATTGATTCAACAGGACGCACATAGTTTTTCTAAAATATGGGACGATTCCGTATTTTAAGGGACGGTTGGCAACCCGACACCAGACACACACACACACACACAGCCTCAGTCCTCAATCTACAGCCTCTGTCCTGAATCTAGACCCTCTGTCCTCAATCTACAGCCTCTGTCCTGGATCTAGACCCTCTGTCCTCAATCTACAGCCTCTGTCCTGGATCTAGACCCTCTGTCCTCAATCTACAGCCTCTGTCCTGGATCTAGACCCTCTGTCCTCAATCTACACCCTCTGTCCTCAATCTACACCCTCTGTCCTGGATCTACACCCTCTGTCCTCAATCTACACCCTCTGTCCTGGATCTACACCCTCTGTCCTGGATCTAGACCCTCTGTCCTCAATCTACACCCTCTGTCCTGGATCTACACCCTCTGTCCTGGATCTAGACCCTCTGTCCTCAATCTACACCCTCTGTCCTGGATCTACACCCTCTGTCCTGGATCTACACCCTCTGTCCTCAATCTACAGCCTCTGTCTTGTATCTACAGCCTCTGTCCTGGATCTACAGCCTCTGTCCTGGATCTAGAGCCTGTCCATTTGTGGGGCCGGATCTCGCTCTCAAGATGGGTGTCCCTGTGGGCCTAAGGGCAGTGGTCATCCCGCTCCCTATGGAACAATGGCTTCTTAGTGTTTGAACTGTTTGATTTTCTGATCTATTGTTGGCTAATCGACAATTTAATAAACATTATTTCCATAGACCAAATCAGGCCGACGCCTTAGCTGTGATTATTGACCATGCAGCAGTGTTGCCAACCATATTTGGAGCTATTTTTATCCAGGGTGCATCGCCTGAGAGGCGTTACGCTATCTTGTGGGAGCCGCTAATCTAATCCAGAGCCTCTGAGGGTGTGAGATCTGGCCGTGTGATTGGACGATTCATCTTAATCAAGTGACAGCGACATCATCAGGCCGCGTCCCCGGGAGGAAAACCGATACGCTAACACCACGCGCTACCTGTGTCGACGTGCTAATCTCTGCTCCATTCATGCTCCCTCTGCGGCAGCAGCAAAAGCCAGAATAATCTTTCAACACAAGAGAGATTATCGGAGTAGGGCAAGGGATCATGGTACTGTTGGGGATTAGGAAAGCACCAATCATTACAATAGAAGCAAATCTTATAAATGTATTTACAGATGCAGCAATAGCAAATGATGCAGGACGGAGGTCATGGACGGGGTCAGAGGTCAGCAGAGCGGGGGAGAGCTGCATATAGTACACTACAGTCACTCGCAGCACTCTCTCATGTGTGGAAGAGTACAAAGCTTTGAAAAGTATGGATGCAAAACCACTTTCTCCAGCAAAACTATAGGACAAAACTGAAATGACTGACCAGAGGGACATCAGAGAGAGACACCAGAGAAGGAGACAGGAGAGAGATCAGTGACAGGGACCAGAGAGGGTCCAGAGAGAGAGACCCGAGAGAAACCAGCAGAGAGTACACTAACAGTCACCTCCAGTTTTTCTCCCTAAAACCTTCAAATCAGTTCAGAAATCTAGTATTAATAATGGATAATTTCAACAGCCACATCAAATCAATGACCAGCTTTTTACCATCGCATTAGTCCAGTTCTCAGGTCTCTGCAGTGGCTTCCAGTGGCTCAGAGAATAGACTTTAAAGCAGCTCTGCTTGTGTACAAGTCACTCCTTTGCCTCGCACAAAGTACAGTGGGGCAAAAAAGTATTTAGTCAGCCCCCGATTGTGCAAGTTCTCCCACTTAATATAATGAGAGAGGTCTGTAATTTTCATAATAAGTACACTTCCACTGTGAGAGACAGAATGTGAAAAAGAATTCCAGGAATTCAAATTGTAGGATTTTAAAAGAATGTAATTGTAAATTATGGTGGAAAATAAGTATTTGGTCACTTCAAACAAGGAAGATCTGTGGCTCTCACAGACCTGTAACTTCTTTAAGAAGCTCTTCTGTCCTCCACTTGTTACCTGTATTAATGGCACCTGTTTGATCTCATCTGTATAAAAGACACCTGTCCACAGCCTCAGACAGTCAGACTCCAAACTCCACTATGGCCAAGACCAAAGAGCTGTCCAAGGACACCAGGAAAAGAATTGTAGACCTGCACTAGACTGGAAAGAGTGAATCTACAATAGGCAAGCAGCTTGGTGTGAACAAATCAACTGTGGGAGCAATTATCAGAAAATGGAAGACATACAAGACCACTGATAATCTCCCTCGATCTGGGGCTCCACGCAAGATCTCATCCCGTGGGGTCAAAATGATCATGAGAACGGTGATCAAAAATCCCAGAACCACACGGGGGGACCTGGTGAATGACCTGCAGAGAGCTGGGACCAAAGTAACAAAGGTTACCATCAGTAACACACTACAACGACAGACGTGTCCCCCTGCTGAAGCCAGTGCATGTCCAGGCCCGTCTGAAGTTTGTCAGAGAGCACGTGGATGATCCAGGCCCGTCTGAAGTTTGCCAGAGAGCACATGGATGATACAGCAGAGGATTGGGAGAATGTCATGTGGTCAGATGAAACCAAAGTACAACTGTTTGGTATAAACTCAACTCGTCGTGTTTGGAGGAAGAAGAATACTGAGCTGCATCCCAAGAACACCGTACCTACTGTGAAGCATGGGGGTGGAAACGTCATGCTTTGGGGCTGTTTTTCTGCTAAGGGGACAGGACGACTGATCCGTGTTAAGAAAAGAATGAATGGGGCCATGTATCGTGAGATTTTGAGCCAAAACCTCCTTCCATCAGTGAGAGCTTTGAAGATGAAACGTGGCTGGGTCTTCCAGCATGACAATGATCCCAAAATACCAGCTACTGTGTGCAAACCTGGTAAAGACCTATAGTAATCGTTTGACCTCTGTTATTGCCATCAAAGTATTGAGTTGAATTTTAGTTATTGACCAAATACTTATTTTCCACCATAATTTACAAATAAATACCCATGATGAACATTACAGACCTCTGTCATTATTTTAAGTGGGAGAACTTGCACAATTGGTGGCTGAATAAATACTTTTTTGCCCCACTGTACATCTGTGACATGTTAGTGCCATATGAACCAAACTCGGAGCACAGGGACTAGTCTGCTTCCCGAATGTTCAAATCCAGGGTAAAAACAGCAACTGAAGGGTTGTATTTTCACTCTTTTTAATGCACCATGATTGTTTATTGTTTAATTTGTTCTTGTTTTGTTCAACACTTTGAGTTGCCTTGTGTATAAACTTTGTTACACATTTAATCAATCAGCTTCAGACTCATAGGCACTGAGGAGTTTACTTCATATATATTTATTCATTGTATAGACATTCCACGGATCACTTTTTGAGCAGGGGTTATCATTAACACTTGGAGCACTTTCCAAAGTTGTTCCTTTGTTTTTAAAACGCTGTAAGTTAATTGATTGTAATAATTAAATTTCTATATGTTTACTACTTCTACTTTGAGTTCAGTATCATTGGAAAGGAACGACTTACTCCTTACATTTACAACACACTGAAAGGACCAGCCCTTAACTCTTTCTGTTGGTGTCGTTGTTGTGCCTAATGGCCTCCCACTGATCCACATGATGTTTATTTAGCACACAGCACGGATGTGTAACTACTACTCTAGTGTGGAGGTGGTTGTGGGGGCTCAGGGAGGACAGATCGGGCAGCAGTGGGTGGGGGTGAGGGGAGGTGAGTGTGAGGAGTGTTTGGACGAGAGCCTACGAGTCCGAGCCAGGTTTAGTGTGGAATGCCAGGCCTTATGTCAGGGTTACAGGAGCGAGAGGAGCTGAACACAAGTGAAGTCGTTCTGTCCTTCTCTTTTCCTCGTTTGAGATTGGGAATCAGAATAATACATGATGAAACCCACCTGAGACAGAGAGGAGGCTGAGCTAACGGCAAGGTGGCTATGAACAAATCTTTCTCAGGGCCATCCTTTGTGGCGTTTGCATGTTCTCCCTATGTCTGATTTTGTCCTGGTGCTTCGGTTTCTCTTACCACCGAAAACATGGGTCATGAGGACACAGAGTGAGACTGGGTCACAACACTCACTCTACTGGCTGAGATTTCAATGAGAACACACACACACACCCTTCCGAATACACACACTCGGTCAAATTGTGAATTGAAGCGTTACGTTTGACCCAAAGTACAAGTAACCCGCCTCAGACCTGCCTCAAATAACTCAACCAGCAACAAACACTACATCCACCTGTGCTTTTTGGACAAAAGAATCTTCATGTCAGTAAATCACCTAATGATGCAGGATTTGATACACATTAAAACTGTCCAAAAAAAGTGCAGGGATCTGGAAACTGCCACCTGACCTACAGAACCTGTGGAGGCCATTTTGTCCTTAGTCTAACAGGCCCAGGTGTGGAGGTGAAGACTTACTGCTCTTATGAAGCTGTGTTAGTATGTCCTGGGACATACCGTGCACATGAGGGGGAACAGGGGATCCCAGTCCTGTTCCATGACAGAGATGCTCACCACAGTTACAGGGAAACGACAAAAGAACAACTATATGCACTTGAATCTAGAACTGCCTTAAACCAGTGTGTGTCTAAGTGTGTGGAGTTTTTTTTTCCGAGCAATGCTTTTCTAGTTTATAAAAGAACAGATGATTATTGGTGCGACAGGTGATTTTAGTTCCATTTGTAACTCCTCTACCTCGGATGCTACTGTGTGTGATAGAGTTGTGATACGTCTGTCCTCTGTCCCAAAGGACACTCTGTGAAGTGAATTCATTTTGAAGCCCATCTGCACCATTCAGTCCCTATTCTGCACAAACACACAGACACATATAGGCACACACATACACTGAGACACACACACGCATGTGTTTTTGGGCTCTGTCACATCTTTGCCCTCTGGTCTGTTTCTGGTCTCTCAATTGCAGGTATTTTTGGCCTCACATGGCCAATCAGCCAAGTATATGTTTTGACCTGTTATATGTACACTAGAGTATTTTCTCTCATGTACTGAAAAGATATGTATGTCATCGACTGGAGATAGTGAGGACAATAACCCCCAATTAAAGAGATATTGTAAGAGGCTTAAAGTATGTGCATTTGCACATAGATTGATATTCAAATGTAAGTCCATAGGTGGAGCTGCTTTCTGGAGTGAGATGCAGAGATGGACTTTGGGTAATGAAACTACAGCCCCTAGGAGAGGCTTCCTGTTCGGACACATGACTGTGATTGTGTGTCACAGCAGACCTGAGGAGAAAGAACTTCAGTAACAGCAGACAAGAAGAACGTGGATCATTTGAGACAAGGCCAAAAGTGAGCAGTGCTGCCGCTCTAATTCTGGAGGGCTGTCATCACTCAGCTCATGGGAAGAGGTCAGTGCGTGTTGAACGCCGAGGAGATAAAACCTCCTGTTATCTCATAGTTAAAATTGCTGAAACACCATAGTTCTTGGACAAATTGGACAAGTTGAAGAGGCTTTGACTAACAAAGCCTCTGCAACTACCACTGCACCCTCAGTTCCCACCTGCAAGTCTCCTCAGCCTCGTTCTATGGACTGGGTCATGGTTCCACGGCCTCAATCCTGGACCTGTAGCCTCAGTTGTGGATATACAGCCTCAGTCCTGGATCTACAGCCTCCCACTGGATATCTGAGTGGTTCCTTGTTGATGCAGAAGGGTCTAAGGACAGTGATAATCCGGGAAATGTCTGCACATTTATCAACATTTAATTTAGTTTGAACGTTTTCGAAATGTCTCTGTCCTTTCAAAAGCACAACATAAAACCGATTAGTCATCATTTAATACTTCTACCACTAGATGAAGCTGTACACTCTCTATATATACACTGTGCATAGATAACCCTATATTTTCAACTTCTAAAACATGAAAGGCCAAATTTAATATACAATTTCCCAGTATGAATACTACACTTTTATCTGTGGGTGAGAACATGACCTGAGAGCATCGTTGTAACAGGATTAAAATCTCATAAAAACCCACTGAATGCCCATAGGCTCCAGTCACACTTCCCCTGTGCTAATTGGACGAGGTGCATTATCTTGCCCCGGGAGGCGGTTGCTAGGAGACAGATGGAGGCACCGGGGGGTGAGCAGCTCCTCCGTTGCTCGGGGTGAAGGAGCAATTGCTCTGATTTAGTGATAGGAAGTGATATGAAGGTCAGATTTTATGGTTCATCGTCCAATGAAGAACCATTCGGAGCAGACATGAAACAGACAAGGACAGACACATCTTTGTGATATTGAGATGTGATTTTTGATTTCCTCAATGGTTAAAAAGTCTAATTTTGTTCATAGTAACTTCAAAAGTTACTATGATTAGTTGAAAGTTGCTATGATTAAAGCAGAAGTATATAAAGAGAGAGAGAAAGAGAGAGAGACCAGAGAGAGAGACCAGAGAGAGAGACCAGAGAGAGAGACCAGAGAGTGAGACCAGAGAGAGAAGAGAGAGACCAGAGAGAGACCAGAGAGAGACAGAGAGAGACCAGAGAGAGACAAGAGACCAGAGAGAGACCGAGAGAGACCAGAGAGAGACCAGAGAGAGACCAAGAGAGAGAGAGAGAGACCAGAGAGAGAGACCAGAGACCAGAGAGAGACCAGAGAGAGACCAGAGAGAGACCAGAGAGGAGACCAGAGAGAGAGACCAGAGAGTGAGACCAGAGAGAGAGACCAGAGAGAGAGACCAGAGAGAGAGACCAGAGAGAGAGACCAGAGAGAGAGACCAGAGAGAGAGACCAGAGAGAGAGACCAGAGAGAGACCAGAGAGAGAGACCAGAGGAGAGACCAGAGAGAGACAGAGAGAGACCAAGAGAGCCAGAGAGAGACCAGAGAGAGAGACCAGAGAGAGAGACCAGAGAGAGAGACCAGAGAGAGACCAGAGAGAGAGACCAGAGAGAGAGACCAGAGAGAGACCAGAGAGAGAGACCAGAGAGAGAGACCAGAGAGAGACCAGAGAGAGAGACCAGAGAGAGAGACCAGAGAGAGACCAGAGAGAGAGACCAGAGAGAGAGACCAGAGAGAGATCAGAGAGAGAGAGAAAGAGAGAGAGAGAGAGTCCAGTGAAAGAACAGAGAGAGAGAGAGAGAGAGAGTGAGACTTGAGACCAGAGTTAAAATAAAGTGTGCATGCTGTTTTACTGTCATTTACTGTCACAGCTCGTGCTATAGCGTAGTATATATACAGAATTATTTCCCCGGCCGAAACACAGAGTGAAAATCAATAAGCCAAAGTCTGAGCAGCTGCGTGAGTGTGTAGGTGTAGGACTGTGTGTAGGAGTGTGTAAGTGTAGGACTGCCAGGCAGGCCTCTCAGCGGCCTCCACACACCCACTCAACTGCCCTCAGCCTGGGCCTGCTCAGTGGCCCCAGCCTGGGCTTGATCCATATGGCACCAGCACCAGGGCAGGCACAAACTGAGGCCAGTCAGCTGACCATAATATGCTCAAATCATATTCACTTCTCATGTTCCAGTTGCTAATGTGAACAGTGAGGCCCGTTTTGTGATAAGGGAATGTGTTTGAAGATGCCAATTTTCGTTAATTGAAGCAGGAGCACATTTATCAGACAAAAACACATCCATGTGAACACAAGAGATAGAAGCATGCTGTTTTGATTGATAAGGAGATAAGAAACCTAGTCACACGGCTGTTTTATCATTTTTGTGGGTTCAAAGTAGCTTTAAGTACTGCCATACAAATATGGAGTCATCAGTTTCCTGGAATTACAGAATGATATCTACGTACAGACCAAAAGTTAGGACACTCTTTCTCAATCAATGAGTTTCCTTTCTTTACATGACTATTGACTGTAGATTCACACCCAGGCTGTGTAAGGGCTGTTTGACCAATAAGGAGAGTGATGGATGCTGGGCCAGACGACCCGGCCTCCACAGTCACCGGACCTGAACCAATCCAGATGGTTTTGGGGTGAGCGAGACCACAGAGTGAAGGCGAAAGGGCCAACAAGTGCTGAGCATCTCTGGGAACTCCTTCAAGACTGTTGGAAGACCATTTCAGGACCTCTTGAAGCTCATCAAGAGAATGCCAAGAGTGTGCGAAGCAGTAATCAGAGCAAAAGGTGCTACTTTGAAGAACCTAGAATATAAGACATATTTTCAGTTGTTTCATACTTTTTTTCTTTGTAGGTACATAATTCCACATGAGTTAATTCACAGTTTTGATGCTTTGTGATGCAGTGTGAATCTACAATTTTCATAAACATGAAAATAAAAAACTCTTGGAATGAGAAGGTGCGTCCAAACTTTTGGTCTGTACTGTACATGGTTCAATAAAAATACCTTTACCTCTCTCGTCCTGGGTGCTGGGTGGTTTGCATGTTCTTCCTATGTCTGTGTAGTTTTCCCTCACCACAAAACACTTGTTCACCTCTCTATGGTCTCTCTCTCTCTGGTCTCTCCATGCTCTCTTTCTGTTTTCACACCCTCTGCTCTCTCTCTGTTTCCCCTTCCATTAAAAATATGTAGAATTGGTACAATCCTCCAGCTCTAGTCTTGATGAAGAGCATCAATATCTGGAGGTGGGTTCCCTGTTACTACAGCGCCCATTGCTCAGGACAGCAGCCCTTGTGCTACAGCAGGGTGGGTCAAATGCAGAGGAAACATTTCTCTAAGAGGACTTCACTTAAGAAAACACAATGATAGGATACAAGAGGCTCTTTACAACACTCAGTCTGACAGTTGGTTCCAGTTTCCCGTGGTCCAGACGCAGACAGCTCTAACAGCGTGTCTGGTGTTTGTGCCGACAGCTCTACTCTCTACGTTCACCGCTCACCACTCTCTCTTTAAAGCTGCCAACGCTGACACCAGGACACTGTCAGAACCTGCTCCCTGCGTTCACAACATCTCCCACAAACCGTCAACGTAAGAAGCTATTAATACCAGCAATATGTCGGCCATATCTGTCTGAGTAGTTAGCATGTACACTGTGGATGATATGCATTTCAGACAATTGTGAGTAATGGCCATTTCTCAGACCAGACCAGTGGGGGCAGGTCCCGGCTCAAAAGTGGCCAAATTTGACGTGCGCTGACATGCTGCAATAGGCAAGGCAAGGCAAGGCATGTTTATTTGTATAGCACAATTCATACACAAGGCAACTCAAAGTGCTGAACAAGATAGCATTAAAATCATAAATAATCACAGAACATTAAAAAGAAAGATAAAAATATAAAATCCCTCAGTTGTATGCACAGCTAAACAGCACAGTTTTTAACTTGGTTTTAAACATAGTCAGAGAGGAGGCCTGTCTCACATCTTCAGGAAGAATGTTCCAGATTTTAGCAGCATGAATCTGAAAAGCAGCCTCCCTATGTTTAGTTCTGACTCTGGGCACTAACAGGAGTCCAGTCCCTGTGCTCCTCAGAGTCCGGGCTGGTTCATATGGGACTAACATGTCACTAATATATTTTGGTGCGAGGCCATGGAGAGACTTGTACACAAGCAAAGCTGTTTTAAAGTCTATTCTCTGAGCCACAGGAAGCCAGTGCAGAGACCTGAGGACCGGACTAATATGGTCGTACTTCCTGGTTCTAGTCAGGACTCGAGCTGCTGCATTTTGAATGTACTGCAGCTGTTTTACAGCCTGTTTGGACAGACCTGTGAGCAGGCCATTGCAGTAGTCTAACCTACTGGAGACAAACGCATGGATAAGAATCTCCAAGTCTGCTTTAGACACTACGTTTTTGATCCTGGAAATGTTTTTTAGATGGTAAAAAGCTGCTGATGTTACTGATTTGATGTGGCTATTAAAATTTAAGTCTGAGTCCAGTATTACCCCTAGATTTCTGACCTTGTTTGAAGGTTTTAGGGAGAGAGACTGTAGATGACAGATGACGCTCTCTCTTTGTTTCTGGGGACCAAAGACAATCATTTCAGTTTTGTCTGTGTTTAGCTGAAGGAAGTTGTTTTGCATCCACTCACTGATCTGTTGGATACAGTGAAGGAGTGAGTCCACTGGTCCATGTTCTCCTGCAGTCAGTGAGACATAGATCTGAGTGTCGTCTGCATAGTTATGATAGGAAACTTCGTTTCTGCGTATTAACTGACCTAACGGCAGCATGTAGAGATTGAAAAGAAGAGGTCCCAGGATCGACCCCTGTGGTACTCCACAGGTCAGGGCCATATGATCTGAGACACAGTTTCCAATCTCCACAAAGTACTTCCTGTCTTCAAGGTAAGACCTAAACCAACTTAGGGCGGTGCCAGCGACGCCAACCCAGTCCTCTAGTCTCTGTAAGAGGATCTCATGGTCGACAGTGTCAAAGGCAGCACTCAGATCTAACAGGATTAGGATTGAGACTTTGCCTGCGTCAGTGTTTAGCCGGATATCGTTTGTAACCTTGACGAGAGCAGTCTCAGTGCTGTGGTGGGGTTTAAAGCCGGACTGAAACATATCAAATGAGTTGTTGATTATAAGAAATCTATTTAGCTGTTGGTAGACAACTTTTTCAAGGACTTTCCCCATAAATGGCAGATTTGAGATGGGACGATAGTTGTTAAGTACCGTAGCATCGAGACTGCTCGATCCGTACCGTAGCATCGAGACTTTTTTAGCAGGGGCCTGATGACTGCAGTTTTCAGGGCCTTTGGGAATATTCCAGAATGAAGGGACATGTTTACTATCTGTGTGAGTGAAGGTAACAGACTGCTCAGAACAGACTTTAGAAATCTAGTGGGTAGTACATCCAGGCTACATGTGGAGGCGCTCAGACTGGAGATTATCTCTTGGACAGTTTGATCATTTACAGGTGCAAAGTAAGTTAGCTCAAAGAGCCTTTTAGGCTGTTGGATGGTTATCTGTGGATTGGAGACAATGGCGTTTTTGATGCCTTGAACCTTGTCATTGAAAAAATGTGCAAACTCATTACATTTACGTTTGGAAGTTAGCTCTAATGGCATCTGAACAGGGGGGTTTGTTAATCTATTAACTGTTGAAAACAGAACACGCAGATTGTTGCTGCAGCCTTCAATCATTTCAGAAAAATACCTTTCTCTCGTACTACGTAGCACCTGGTTAAACTCGCACAACTTATCTTTGAAGATCTCGTAGTCAACCTGGAGGTTGGACTTGCGCCACTTCCGCTCGGCCCTCCGGCACTCTCTCTTTTGTGCCGTGACCGAGTCTGGTTTAGCCCACGGCGCCTTCTGCTTATTTTTCACTGTTTTAACCTTCACAGGAGCGATGGTGTCCAGAACATTCAAAACACTAGAGGTGACAGAGTTAAACAGTTCATCTACAGTAGAATACGATGCATTCTCAAAGTTTATCATTCCCATAAATAGTTCACCCGTATTTTCATTTATGTGTCTTCTTCGTACAGTTGCAGAGTCCACTGGTGGTTTGTTAGTGAAACACATGTCAAAAAATACACAAAAATTATCCGAAAGCGCAACATCGACCACGTTTACATTTGAAATATTCACCCCCTTAGTAACTAACAGGTCTAGAGTGTGCCCTCTGCTGTGGGTGGGGCCACTCACATGCTGAGTGAGACCAAAAGATTCAAGAACAGAACTCAGCTCTTTTGCCTTTCTGTCAATAACATTATCCACATGAATATTAAAATCCCCTGTAATAACTAAGCTATCAAAATCTGTGCATAAAACTGAAAGAAACTCCGTAAAATTATCAATAAATCTGTGACATGACTGCGGTGGCTTGTATAGGACAATGAAGAGTATTGGACTAGATTGTTTTTGTTGTATTTTAAAAGACACATATTCAAAAGATGGAAACTTCCCAAGAGACATTCTATGGGAGACAAAGTGGTCTCTGAAAATGGCAGCTAAGCCTCCTCCTTTTTTGTTTCCCCGTATTTCAGATTCAAATTTGAAATTTGGTGGTGATGCTTCTATTAAAACTGCATTTTCTGTATTTTGGTCAAGCCATGTTTCAGCCATGAACATAAGATCTAGATTATAAGAACAAATAAAATTATTGATTAAAAAAGACTTGTTACAAAGAGATCTGACATTTAGCATAGCAAGTTTCAAAGTTTCAGTATCAGCGGTTGTGGTCGGCTGATTCTTACACGGAACAAGAATTAGATTTTCCAGATTAGACTGATTAACTTCAGATATTTTGTATTGTGTAGATGTATTCTTTGTGTTATCACTAAGGGAATGGCACAGGTGGCTTCATGACAGGGCCCCAGCCGGGTCTCTCCTCTAACTAGACTGCCAGTGGCTGCGAAGCAGAGACCCTGTGCATCCTAGTGCTTAGAGAGAAGAGGGGAAGGGGAAGGTGGGGGAAGAGGATGGAGAGGCGGGTGGTTCTTGGGAGTTGGACGGGGGGGGGTTGAAGGTGGATGGGTTTTTGGTGATGGGTTAGGGGAGGGGCAGGCTGAGTTGGGTGGTGGACGAGGGGGGAGTGGAGGTGGAGGGTTTCTTGGTGCTGGGTTAGGGGGGAGGTGGGCTAAATGAGCAGGAGGGGGGGGTGGAATACTTATGGGGTTAGAGGAGGGACGGGTGGATTTTGTGGGAGAATTTGAGTTGGACGCCCTAGGTAGCTTTGGAGGTACGTATGGGGAGTGGTTTTGAATGTTAGATAGGACTCTTGATCTGGCTACAGTGGGTGTGAGAGGAATAGTCTTCATCGCCGATCTTATCATGCCTGCAGAGTGTTCCGGTAAATCCAGTAGTGAAGGCGGGGATAGAAAACAAAGAGAAAGGTCGTCCTCATTTTCCCTAGATGGAGTGGATGTAGCGGGGGGGACCCAAGCCGGGTCCATGGAAGGTGATGAGGGAGTCTTTGGTGGAGACAGAGGTGGTTGAGGAACCCCCAGTACAGGCCTGACTGTAGCCTGGAGCAGTGGGGGAAGCTTCATGGGAGCTGTAGGTGGGGAAGGTGCTGCTGAAGATGATGGAGCAGCCACTGCTGCTGCTGTATCCACTGCTGCTGCTGAAGATGATGAAGCAGCCACTGCTGCTGCTGAAGATGATGGAGCAGCCACTGCTGCGGCTGTATCCACTGCTGCTGGTGGTGCTGTATATGCTGATGGCGCTGATTGAAGATCTGATGTGGCAGCTGCTGATGATGCTGGTGGTGGAGCGTTGAGCTCTTTCGGAGCCGTGGAGGTGTTGAGTTCTTCTTGGAATCGTGGAGGTGTGGAGTTCTTTTGAGGCGGTGGGGGTGCAGAGACCTCGGGAGTCCGGTGGAGATGGTCGTGATGTCTGTGCCCTTTGCTTCTTCTTTCTCCCTTTTCGACGGCTGCACGCGCTGGCGCAGGGCTGAGGTCTTAGGGCAGATGCAAAGTTATCCATCAGCACTTTTACTCCGTAGTTGTTCAGATGTGGGCCTTTTTCTTCAAAAAAGCTCGTGCCTATTCCAGAACAGGTTAAAGTTTTCAATGTAAGCCAAGTCCTCTGCGTGAACACTCATGTGAGTAGAATGTATTTAGCATGATACAGAACGGCTAAACTTCTCCATTTTTCCACTCTATATTTGGAAGTGGGCCACTAAGGAAAATTGTTATGTCCATTTTCTTGAGGTCATCCAGTAACAGCGTTAAATCCATTCGTAACTTCTCGCTTGCCTTCTCATAGATATCTACCGCCCCCGTGTGGATCAATAATGTACGCACACCACTGTTCTCAGATAACACTTTAGGCAGAAGAGACCTTATCTCAGCAACTTTTGCAGAGTGAACTGAGATAGTGAGCATGGACTCCATGTTTACATTTTTCACCGCGAGCCATCTCCGATAAGGATACAGTTTGTCCTTGGTGGAGGCGCTGCAGTTGTTAGCGGCTTTGTTGTTTCAGAAAGGGGTAAAAAGCGGTTTGAAGTCTTCAGAACATTTAGTTGTGGCCTTATTTCACTCCTATTGTCATTCTTAGCTTTGTCAACTTTGGGTTTAGCT